CTGATACTTTCGGTAGTCTGCGGTCTCTGCAGTTTTCAGTGTATTTGTGATTTAGAAGCATTTGAAAGTTTCAGAATTTCTGATACTTTCGGTAGTCTGCGGTCTCTGCATTTTTCAGTGTATTTGTGATTTAGCCGCATTTGAAAGTGTCAGAATTTCTGATACTTTCGGTAGTCTGCGGTCTCTGCAGTTTTCAGTGTATTTGTGATTTAGCCGCATTTGAAGGTATCAGAATTTCTGATACTTCGGTAGTCTGCGGTCTCTGCAGTTTTCAGTGTATTTGTGATTTAGAAGCAGTTGAAAGTGTCGGAATTTCTGATACTTTCGACGTCTAGTTTCTGCAGTTTTCAGTGTATTTGTGATTTAGCCGCATTTGAAGGTATCAGAATTTCTGATACTTTCGGTAGTCTGCGGTTTCTGCAGTTTTCAGTGTATTTGTGATTTAGAAGCATTTGAAAGTGTCAGAATTTCTGATACTTTCGGTAGTCTGCGGTCTCTGCAGTTTTCTGTGTATTTGAACAAGAGGGAATTTCGTTCTCGACCAATCAGCGCTTTTGTTTACATTTTTCCCCTAATCCAATCAGAATGCGTAAAACGCTTCATCACATGAAATTTGTAAACAAAAATATGGGGTTACTTCAGAGCTTTTCTGCAAGCGTTTTTTTGTTTTTTTTCCATGAAATTCATATATGTTGTTTTTAAAAGAATTCTCCTCAACTTCCTCGTGGCGATTTTTGATTAATTTCGTGATTGCGAAGATATGGGTCTTCAAATTTTGCCTTGCGCAAGCTTAAATACCACCCCTCGAATCTGTAGGTTCCGAACGGATTAGCGTTTTTAAATGTCTTTCAAATCGAGGTTTGAGAGGTTTTATTTTTTAAAAGATACTTTTATCTTCATATTTTCACATTAACTTATTAATATCCTGTGTAACAGGTAAACAGGACACTTCCGTGCCGGGACAAGTTGACATGTCGATTTCTTGCTAAACAGCGTGGTGATCAATATGGCGAATATCTAAATAAAGGGAATTTTTAAAATTTGTTGGTATAAATGGGCTGAAGAAACTCATCAAATATTTGGACTATGGACCTTCAAACTTATGCCAAGTATTTATTTGATTGATTATCTCAATAACTGTTTTTTGGGTCGGTTTTCGTCGATTTCGACATTTAGTCGAGCTTAATCGACTTCAGAATAATGTGTCAACATTGCGTGTTGCAGCCTGTGGACATGACTATTTTCGTTTGTTTGATCATAACACTTATCTTCATTGTTTTTAATCCTTGAATGACAATATATTCATTGGTCTCAGAGTCCTAAACTTAAGGAAGATGGATGACTTTGAGACAGATATCAAAATGTTGTTCAGATATCAAAATTTATGGACATATATAGTCACAGTGACTAAGTCACTCATAGCATAGTCATAGGACCTTCATTGTTTCTTCCTTAATCTGGCCCACTAGTCACAAATGGGGCCTGTTCTTATGACCTGGCTAGGCAGGAGACAACATTTGCCAGTATTGCCGATATACTATCCTGCTACTATCCTGGCTGAGCACAAGGCATCCGTTGCCAGAATCCCAACTATGCAAGCCAAGAAATTCACCATTTACAGTAAACATTCTATCCCACAACCAGGCAACATGAACTTGCCTTTAGGGTCCCATGCTGCCTAGCCCAGATCATATCAACAGACCCTTAGCAGATCCTGAAACTAGAATTGGAACATTTTAGGCCATAATCTTGTAGAATCAACCAGGTATTGTCAGTAGTATAATATCACACTGGGCAAGCTGGTCTTGCCCATTTATATGGGCTAAATATACACCTGTCCATGGTAAGATATTGCCTCGTATATTAATCTTATATATGTTTGAGATTGCATTCACATGAAACAGCCTGGTTGAATTTATTGGCCCAGCATCTGCTTGAGCAAGTTGATATCCTGTATTGGGAGTCTCACCCTAATAAAGGTCATAAGCTGGCCAACCAGCTCACTCGACTAAAAATCATGTTATAATACACAATTTGGCCCAAGTAAGTAAGAAATTGATTAATATAAGCCTTCTGAAGCTGTTGTCATTAACAAATTAACCAGCATTTCACACAAATGTCTTGACAACAGTTGCCAGGTTAGCCTTACTCCTGTGAGGCAAAAGACAAACTAGCCCTGAAAAGAAAATCCAGCCATGTTTGCTGGGCTAGCATGGCTCATTTTGACAGCCCTTAACTGGGAGAGCTTATTTTTGGAAAGGAGATCTGATTTTTGGAAGGGAGGCCTATTTGTGAGGTTACTGGAGGCTTAATATTGGATTGCATTATTATATAATATGTGAAAATATTCATTTGTGCACAGGTATTCTGGTAATGCACAAATTTATGGACTAAAATGTTTCAATTATAGTCTCGGGATCTATTGGGGACCTGTTTATATGATCTAGGCTATCCAGAACACATGCTTGAAGCCTGTCATGTTGCCTGTTTTGGATACAGTGCTTATTGTATATGGTGAATTTCTTGGCTTACATATAGCCAGGATTCTGGCAATGGAAACCTCACGCTTAGCCAGGCTGATAGTAGCAGGATAGGATAGGACATACTGGCCAATGTCGTCTCCCACCTTAGGCCACCTAGCCAGGTAATATGAACAGGGCCCAATTGTGACTAGTGAGACAGATGAAGTAAAAACAATGAAGTTCATATATGTCCATAAATTTTGATACCTGAACAGCAACATTGAACAAAATTATTCTGTCCCAATGTCATCCCTCTTCCTTAAGTTTAGGACTCTGAGACCAATGAATATATTGTCAATCAAGGATTAAAACCAATGAAGACAAGTGTTATTGTCAAACAAACGAAAATATTCATGTCCACAGGCTGCAACACGCAATGTTGACACATTATTCTGAAGTCGACTAAGCTCGACTAAATGTCGAAATCGACGAAAAACGAGCCAAAAAAACAGTTATTGAGCTAATCAATCAAATAAATACTTGGCATAAATTTGAAGGTCCATAGTCCAATTATTTGATGAGTTTCTTTAGCCCATTTATACCAACAAATTTTAAAAATTCCCTGTATTTAGATATTCGCCATATTGATCGCCACGCTGTTTAGCAAGCCAATCGACATGTCAACTTGTCCCGGCCCGGAAGTGTGCTGTTTACTTGTTACACAGGATATTAATAAGTTAATGTGAAAATATGAAGATAAAAGTATCTTTTAAAAAATAAAACCTCGCAAACCTCGATTTGAAAGGCTTTTAAAAACGCTAATCGGTTCGGAACCTACAAATTCGAGGAATGGTATTTAAGCTTGCGCAAGGCAAAGTTTGAAGACCCATATCTTCGCAATCACGCAATTAATCAAAAAATCGCCTCGAGGAAGTTGAGGAGAATTCTTTTAGCCCTATTTGTACCGGGGGTTTTTCATGTTGATATGACCGGGGGTGCGCTGATAGGGCGCACCCCTCAGAGATTCTGTCGATTAACTGCTATTATCCTATATGTTTTATTTTTAGTAAGTTTTATCTTTCTTTAACCTAAAAATAACAAAAAAGTTAAATTCACATCCAAAATGCTGTTTTTTGGCCACAATGAATATGACCGCCTATCCGAAAATGGCGAATATAGCTAATATTTTACCCATTTTGGTTCTATTTTGTAAAGAGATAACAAAACATTTTGGATGTAATATTTTTTGGGTCTTTTACATTCAAAAGACATACTTTTATGTTATAGCATATCTCAGATGTCCATAAACACCACGATTTTACTTTCCAAGTTGACATTTCTGTGCCATGTGGAAAGACATACAACTGAAACTTACCAGTCTCTCATATAAACAATCCAAATCATTTTCAAGTTTCAACATCACTGATTTTACCTTCATATCTTTGTGACAGTGTCATTGTTGTATAAATAATGTTCCATTATTCTCATAGTATGCACAATTGTGCATTCTGTTGAAACTCTAGCACTTTTTTTGGCATAGCTTCTGCAGTGTAAACATAAAATGTCGACCAACAAAAATTTGTAGAAAAAATACGAAATGGCAGCCATGTTTTATACCAATATACTATGTGTTACATGAAGTGTAAGGCAGGTGAGCTACGAGATACGAGCCTGCAGTATAGTTTTGAAAACACAATATTTACTTTGATAATATGGCAATCATTCTGGATTGTATGCAAAAGTTTTACCCTCATTTGGAACTGAATTTCTGGTACGAAAGTGTTCAATATATAATGCATCCTACAAGTTTGATTCTTGCTGAAAGGCAGGGAGATGTTATACCTTGAAGGTACAAAGAAATATGTATGTGTATTTGAATATATAAAAATATTATAAATAAGTATTTTATATTATATAATTATAAGTATTGTATAGTATGCTATATTATATGTTATACTATATTTTACTATTTTATATAATATATTATGGATATTTTACTTTGCAAATCATGTGTAATAATCCATATTTATATGTTCTCATTATATTATGTTATTTATGACCTGGGAAGTGATTGAAGCCAAAAAATACTGTCCAACCCACATTTGCCCATTTTTGGCCCCGACACCTTCTTTGACAAATGTCGCCAAACGTCCGGATAACTTTGAATTTTCAGAAAAAAATTTTCGCAGTCATGACGGCAGAGGGAAAATATTAAAAGTCATGAAAGTACAGGCAAATCGGATCATTTGTTCAGGAATGACGGATAAATATTTATAGGGGTGCGCTCATTGTGCGCACCCCCGGTACAAATAGGGTTAAAGGTAGGTTACAGTCGCATCTGCGCATGCGCTGGACTTTGTTTACGTTTTTTGTTTTGATCCACATTAATTATATAAGATGAAGTATATGACGAGTTCAAAGTAACATTCCACATGATAATTTGTGACCGAGGAGTGCAATGTTTTACAATACTTCGCTGCATTTATTGTCAACATTTCTACACTGGAAATTTTTGTACACAATAACACAATCTTATACTGTAACTCTTTAACTGTAAACATTGTGAATAAACAGGCCGCTTTGAACCTTGTGTGACTTGCTATATACAACAGCTGGGGCGGCGAACCGAAATCCCGAAGGTGTGAGTTCGAATAATTTGTGTTTAGTGTTTACCTTTGGAGTTTGTGTCTAATCACGAACATAGTTCATGTGGTATCAATCCCTCGAAACATGTTGCCAGAGTTGTTGTTGTCATTATGACAGAAGCACTTGGGGAAAGCTTTTCGCTTGACGAAATTCGAAACAAGTGTGATTGAGAATGTGGCTGCAGTTCCTGTCTTCGTGGCAAAGCCAAGAGCGAAATTTTTGACCGTACAAAAGCTGGATAAACAGCTTTTGTTCAAGCTGGTGCGCGCTATGGAGATAATTTTGGATGCTGTTTTAATACAAACAACAGAAGAGTTCAATAGATTGACAGTGACAAGAGTACGAGACGCTAAGATTATATTCAACTTTTTTGTGTTATAAAAATGTATGTTTTGAAATTATGAACTGGAAGTATGGATTCATTGATATTACTCTCATATTGACACTAAATGATGATATTCTTGTGACACTGAATGATCTAATATTAGCTTCAACAATTCTGGTGATCAGGTTACTTCATCATGTCTCTTCAAGACGGAGGACAATTGCTAAATATATGCTTGTTTCGCTCTATATCAGAGCTCATCAGAATGCCCAGGAAACACTGATGAAATTTTGATTTACATCAACGAATCTTTCTTTTTTTAACAGATTTATTGGGTTATATGGTAATATATATATACAGACATTAAAGGAGAACTCCAAGGGGTAAAGCACAAACATGACTCCAGGGCTTTATTTATAGCCTTTATATGCCCCCGCAGAATACTGAATATAGCTACTAAATATAATTACAGTTTGTAACATGAACAATCAGATAAGCACCATTTACATCAGGGTCTGAAATTTATATTTTTTCTCAGTATCCAAAGGGGATACCAAGATTCAAAGTTTAGTATATCCTATCCCATCCAAATAAGTTTCCATAACACTCACTGTTACAAATTACAGTAACAACTGAGGAGACTCCACAGTCAACACAAATAAACAATTAATCCACATAATCCTTCAACAAACTTCTATATGCTAGTCCTCATTGAGGAAAGACTGGTGGTAAACTGATAATATTCAAAAACTTTCAGGAGCCCATCAAAGGAAATTTTTTAGTATCCAGTCAGGATAGTATTATTCATAATTTGGTATCCAAAACCAAATTTTTGGTATCCTATGGATATCGGGATACTAAAATATATTTCAGACCCTGTACATAAGAACCTGTTTAAGCTAACTTGGAAAAAATCTAGGTTCTTATTCGCAGGGTTTTACTGTGTTGTCTAATTTTGTCCCAAAACAGACCATGCACGGCAGCCTGTTCTGCCAACATAGATAATGGGATGGTGCCACTCTTTGTGACACAAAATCAGGCAATTATAGTACAATATGAACTGGCAAGTGTCTGGCACCTTAAAATCAGATTCCTTTGTGTAGATGGAGCTCATAAGCCTTGGCTGGCAATCCATCTAGGAGAAAGAAAGCTCTGATTTCAAACCCCCAGACCCCACTTTTGGACAAGACATGTATAGTAATTATATCAGTCATGATCATCTAAAAATGCCAGTATATATGCACTTATACAAAGCTGTATGCACTGCAAAGCTACACTTTATTTATCTCAACGACATTTTCAGGGTTCTGGATCATTTTCATTACTTTG